TAAGACAGCTAACATCCAGACGGTAGCATGTGAAGGGGCAACCAGTCTCACGCACCGACTAGAGGCGGGCACAGAGATGCAAAGGAGAGTGGGCCGGGTTAGGAGCCGTGGCTGCGTGGGGTCTGTGGGGGCACATGTGGGGGTGAGCCCCACATCCGTGAGAACAGTGTACGCAGGCGGGGCGGGCAAGAGCTCCCTAAGACCTGGGGTGAGTCTGAGAATCAGGGATTCTGGTAAAGTGAGGACTCAGATATTTGCATGAAGCAGCCTCTTTCTGGGGACATAGATTTTGCTTATGTGGGAATAATCAAAAGGATGCCAGGATCTAGCAAAGGTCCAATAAGAAAAATGGAAGAAAGAAATAGAAAAACAGCAGGTAATGAAGTCTGTCCTGAAAAGCGTTGTCATGATTTAGACACAAGCTGTGAATAGTCATTCATCTATCAAGCCAGAGCTCGAGAGTGAAATGTGAGCTGGAAGAACTGGAGAGAAAAGGAAAATAAAGTCACCTAATAAAATACTGTGGTAAGTAGGAGGGAGCACAGAAGAGAAGCAGTTTTGTTAGGGAAAAGGACATGCACAGAACAGAAATTGGAGAATATCAGATAAATTAACAGGAAAGCAACTTAGTTAAAGAACCAGAGAGAAAAATAACAGTGGTGGATGACAGATGATGACCCCTCACCCCCACAGCTGGAGTCCTCAAGGAAGACAAAAATCACAGAAGAGAGCAAATATGCACAGAGACAAAGCATTTCATATTGTTTCCCTAGTGTAAGAAACTGAAAGAGTAAATAAGATCCAAAAGACACAATAGATATTGTGAAAGGGAAAGAAACTGCTGAAAAGGAAAGAACAACTGGGATGAGGGAAAAGAAAAAGAAGGAAGGGAAAAAAGATGCGCACACACAAGATAGCTAAGATAATTATACTATTATTTTCTATTAGTTCATTGTAAGAAGTAGTTAGTGCTTATATTGTTTGATCAATTTTGCTGCCTATATCCGGTAATCTGAGCAACTACATTGAAGATAACAATATGCAATATAATAACCATTGTTAATTCCTATCATCTTGTTTTGAAATTCTGTGTCGTTTTTATCTTTTTCTCTCTTTAAAATAAAAACAGCTGTGAGATGACTTAAATCTATGTATTTATTACACTTATGCATGGGAAAATCAATCCCAAGTGACCAACAGCAAGGTGTGGACCGTGCATTTCCAGATTCTAAGTTCGCTGCTCGGTACAGGAGCAGAAAGAGGAAGTCCCCTTCTAAAGGGTGACCTGGCCCCGAGGCCCTCCCAGGAGCAGTGTGAGCTGACCTTGTCCTCCTCCGGGAACGTGGTTTAGGGGAGCCCAGGAAGGGAGGAGCCGCTGTGGGCCCAGAAGAGCTTGCATTTCACTGATGGGAAGACCACGGCCCCAGGGCTGGCGGCAAGGACACGATCGACCCAGCATGAAGGCGGATGAGGATGCCATGGTCTCAGGAGCTGCCTGTCCATTGGACAGTGCTCTGAGGCATTCACCATATGTTTTATCGCACTTCATGAGACGGGAAAGAGGACTTCCCCGGCTGCTTCCGAAAGTGGCTGGAGCGCCGGGATGAGTGAGTTCCAGCAAGGGGGATTCATAGCATTGTGTCTTTTACTGCAATACATTTAAAAATTTAAATATTCGCCCTATTGTTTGATTGCACCTCACACTCTGGAAATCTGCAGCCTGGGATTAAGTTGCTGCAACGCCAGGAAAACAACCTGAGCCTACTCTGTTTGCATCTGCACTTCAGCTTTGAGCGACTGTTGCCACTACAGGAAGGATGTCCCAATAAGTAAGACTATATTTTTTTAAATAAATTGTTTTACTATTTACATAATTAATACAACACCATAGAGCTCTACTGGATTGGGAAATATTTCAAAAGAAGCGTCTCAGACAGCACTATCCTGCCTGTCTTAAGCAGGCTCTACTGAAAACTGGGGGATCTGCAAAACATCGCAAGCTGCCAGCGCAACCGCAGAGCTATAAACACGGTTTACTCCTGCAGCCAGCAATTCTATTACAGAAAAGTATCCCTGGGGAAAATGAACACATCCGTGCACAAAGATCAATGTGAGAGAAGTCACTGCAACTTTTTCTAAAAGGAAGAAACCTGCCACTTCCGGCAGCAGGGCCGCAGTCGCCGATTGCCACCGGCCCTCTCCTCCGCTCACAGCACAGGCTGTGTTTGCCAGGGCAGCTGGAGAGGTCCTCAAGGTGAGCGGCACAGGCAGGACCGGCCTCCCGCCCCGCTGCTACCCCTCTCCCATGGACGTCTAAGGCTGCGGGACAGGCTCAGTGAGAGCGGCAGGACTGTCCTTAAGATCTCAGAAGATCGAATCCCTGATGGCTTCTGGGAGCAGAGCGAGAAGGATGAAATCCTGGTATTTGTGAGTGAGATGAAGGACATCGTGTTACATGAAATAGCCAGGAGTTGAAAGAATACCATAGGGCCAGGACAGTGGCACAGGCCTGCCACCCCAGCTCCTCAGGAGGCCGAGGCAGGGTTGCAGCCCGCTTGTGTAACTTAGAGAACTCCTGTTTCAAAGTAAAAGATAAAAGGGCTTGGGATGCAGCTCAGTGATACAGCACTTGTCGAACCTGTGTGAGGCCCTGCTTCCACCTGCAGTTGCATTAAAAAAAGTGCGATCTCACTAATACGTGGACTCTAAAAGAGTTGTTCTGATGGAAACAGTAGGACAGTGGTCGCCCCAGTGGGGCGGGAAGGAAGGAGAGGCCGGTGAGCGAGTGTAACCAGGAGGAATCAATCCTGGCGTGCGGCACAGCAGGGCCACTACGTTAGCAGCATGTTACTGAACACTGCAAATCCGCTAAAAGAGGATTTTGACTGTTCTGCCACAAAGAAATGAGCCATTTTTAAGACCACGGATATGCTAATTCTCTGATTTGATCATTTCACCATGTTTAGATGAAGAGAAACATCATATACTGCAGCCTGTGAGAGGCACAACAGCTAAAAAGGTGCAGTCATGTGTCAACCAAAGCAAAAGGTGAAAAATAAAAGGCTAGGTCCAAGCTGTCTCCCTCCACAGAAGACACGAAGAGGGGCGAACCTTTCTGAAAGCAGGTTGCCGAACTCAGTCTTAACCAAAGCAAGACATCCTTCAGCGCAGTTATTGATGTAGTAATACAAACTTTATGTAGACATTAAGAAATAATATGAAACACCTGTGTTTGTTGACATGGGAAGACATTCACAGCATATTGTTAACTGAAAAAAAAAAGATTATAAGCCAGGCTCAATCACATGAACGAATTTTTAAAATATATTTCTGTGTAACTATGAATATATAATTTGGGGGGACAGATCTGAAAGGCCAGATACAACATATTTCCAGTGATCATCTTTGGTTACCTTTCATGTTATTAAGTGGGAAATAAACTTTTTGAAAGTTTTAATTTTTTCTTTGATGATTTGATGTTTCACATGAAATTTAAAAATGGAAACACTACTGTAACTTAGTTTGGCACTCAGCGATGGACAGGGGTCAAGGGCCTGAGCCACCCATGGCCGAGCGTGACTCAATCTGTATAGAACCCTTCCACACCACTAAGACACGGAGATAAGTGTGCAAGGGACACGAATAAGAAATTCTTCAGAGGAGAAATGGATGCTCGGTAACCATAGGGAGAAACGTTTGAATACCATTTGTATTTTCAGTACATAAGTGAAATGGGAAGCCGTGGCCACCCAGCAGAGTGGGAAGGTTATGATAAAAGCTCTTCTTTGTGAGGCCTGGCATGGGGTACACCCACCTCACACTGTTGGGGACCAAGGTACCCTCGACCAGGACAGACCCCGAGCCTCGCGTGCATCCATGCATCTAGCTAGCGCGTTGCTGCAGTTCTCCCTGCAAAGCAGCTGTGCGCGCACACTCCTCAAAGGGGTGTCCGCTGCGGCGGTGTTTACAGGGGCAAAGCACTGGGGACAACCTGGAGGGAAGAATGGAACCCTGCCTGACAGAAGCTTTCAAACCAGTTTGAAGGAGATGCATGTTGTAAATATGCCATGGACATAAGCTATGTGAAACGTGTGCGGTTGGTCCACTTCCACAACACACAGCTTCAGACATGGCCTAAAACAAAACGCCAGAGACACCCTGATGGACGGGTGAGCTTAGTCTACATCTGGCCCTCAACTGTTTGGGAAATACATTGCTGAATTGAGGCATGTGAAAGGAGACGGAAGAGGATGTTATGCTGGCGGGTGCCCGGGAGGAGCCTCTCCTGCAGAGGACTGGATGAGGACACGGTGTCTTCCAGTGTCCACGGGGTCCCCAGCATATATCTCCGGGGACATAGTGTTTGTTCACAGCATGACTGCATGGGGAAGGCAGCTGTGGCCCCAGGGAGCAGGCGTTTGTGAGTGGGGCTGGGGACCTTGGCTACTCATAGGATGGCTTGAAGAAGGCACCCAAGGAGACGGCATTCAGTCGTGGCGAACGTATGGTATGCCTCTTGCAGTGGGCTGTTCGCATCCTTGGAAGCTCTAGAAGGTTCATTATCCCTGCTCTAAGCCACAGTGAATGTTTGAAAAATCAATGGTTTTATGTTTTCACTTTAAAAACCACTTCATCTCATAATTCTAAACACAAGGAAAATAAGTCTCTACCAATCAGCAGTGCTGGCATTTCCCACTGCACCTCTCTCTCCTTGCCTGGGCTTGCAGGGGTCTGGAAGCTGACCGTAGCAGCCTCACCTAGGTGGACAGGGCAGTCTTCTCCCAGGAGTGCAAAGGGCCCGCCTGACCCATCCTGGTCTCCCCAAGGACCTTCATGGCTCATCACCACAGTGGACCATGGTGCACCACTAGTGCCCTTGAGAGGAAGACAGGTGGAGACAGGAGCAGTACCTCCTCTTGCCAGACACACATCCTGAAGCACTAGGAGCCTTGGAACATCACACCCACTGGCAGTTAACAAACAAACCAATCATGCCATACCTTTGGAGAATTTCCACACGATGGTGGGTACAGGATAGCCCTCAGCCGAGCAATTGAGTATAACAGCCTTGCCGTAAATCCCGTCCTGGTCCCGCGGCTGAACCACGAACTTGGGAGGAACTGGAAAGAAAAAGTAGGCGGTCATTCAGATCCGAGCACAGCCCAGTGAAGGTATAATTTGATGAACCTACTGGAAGGAGCAATTGAATACAAACAATGGGTTACGTAGTGGAAAACAAAGATGGTTTTTGCAGTTTGGACCAAAAGATAGATGCAAGCTTAATGCTGGAAATTTTTTTCCACGCATCAATGGGCTTCTGTAGAGAGGACTTATTTTGTACCAGGGAAACCTGGGCATTCAAGCGTGACATTTTGACCAAACCAAGGGGTTGTGACCTTCTGCTCTTGAGTTGTGTTACTAATGATCTTCGGGAATTTGTTCAATGGAATTGACAGTCACAGCCGTCAGCGAAAGAAGAGAGAAAAGATGTTCGTAAGCACCAAGGACGAGTGTTCTACTTAGGTGTGAGCTGCTCAAAGCATCCTGTGTCTACGCGAGAATTAACCAGCACTCCTCAGTGGTGATGAAGAGCACACCGTGGAATTCAGCTTTGCCCAAAAATCTCCTGAAGCTGTGCCCACTGGTATTCCTGAGGGTGGCACCTTTTGGGGCCCAAGTGGCCAGGTGAAGGGAGGCCCCACAAAGGCTTAAGGGTACACTTACTAAAAAATGAGAGAGTAGGTAACCTCCATCTGGTGAATTTGGAGAGGTATAGGAAGGATCTACCCTTTGCTAAGTCATACGCAGGCGCTGCACTTCAGGCACACCTCTCCAGGAACAGCAAATGCCTCCAGGGAAACTACGGTGCTTTTAATAGTCCTTTAATCTTTTCTTAAAGAAAAGGTCCAAATTCTTCTAGGAAAGGCAGCATCTGAAAGGGTCATAGTCCGCGAATGTTTCCCAGGAGGTGAGCGGACTCCGCGGTGGGACAGGTACTGACTACGGAGAGGAGATGGATCCGCCCACCGCTGAACAGATACCAAGCAGGCGCCCGCGGTCCTCCGTTCCTTTCCGCAGCTCCTGGCAAGGTAAATCTCTCCTGCTCTGTGATACAGACGGGTGGGCTGTGTGCTGCAGACGAGTTGCCTCCTGCCACCCCGCCATGGACCGAGAAGGGAGAATCTCAGTTGCCCAGGGCTTAGGAGCAAGTGGAGATGACACAAGCTACCATGGCGACCGCTTCAGCTCTGACACACTGAGGAGAGAGAACGATGCCAGGACACAGGAAGCAGCCAGGGCTGGAGCTCACTGTGATGTCTCTAGAGAGGGGACCCCTGCTCTGGATTTCCTAGTGCAGCTTTTTATACAAAGCATTGCACCTGGACAGGTTCGAGGGAGCAGCGGCTAAGACCATGCAACTTACTTGGGGCTCCAGCTCCACTGCTTTTTTTTCTGTCTTGAGACAGGGTCTTGTTATAAAGTCAAGGCTGGCCTTTACCTCAGTGTGTAGCCCAGACTGGCCCTGAACTCATGGCGATCCTCCTGCCTCAGCCTCCTGAGTGCTGGGATTACAGGCATATGCCATCACACCTGGCTCTGATACTTCTTGTCAGGTAATTTGTGCAAGTTTGGCCTCAGTGTCCTTGTATGTAAATTGAGAATCATTACAGTGACCATTTCATAGGATCGTGATGAGGATCTAATAAATGAAGTTAGAAAAATTCTCAGAATAGTGGCTGGAAGATGTAACGTGCTACAGGAGCGTTGATTAATTTAGTAAATGCAGGTTACGTCCAGCCCTGACACATCCTCATGAACGCAGACCCCAGCTTGCAAGTGAAGGAAGTACTTTACAGAGCCACTGATCTCTAGGATCTTGCTTAAGTGGTAGGCAATTCCCCTTTGTGGCACTGTATCTTGAGACAGATACATTCAATGAAATGTAAATACATTTGAAATAAAATAATAAGGGGAGGCTATCAAATATTGAGGAAATTATTTCTAGGAAAAATGCCAGAGATTACATAGAGCAAAATTTTCTAATAAAAATCATCAATCACCTTCAAGGATTGATTAGAATGTTTAAACACCAAGCTAGAATCATTATCCCCAGGACACAAGGTGAATGTGTGCCATCCACGACCTATCTTCTGTGCCTCAAATTCTGCTAAAAGCAAGAAATCCCTTGCCAAATAGACAGGGTAACTAATCTCTGGCATTTCCTCTGGAACGATGTCCAATTATAATCGTCCTGTGACTCCCCCCTCAATTTGGCTCAAATCCAGAGAAATGTTACTTAAAAACTCATCAAAAAGGTCGAGCTGGGAGAAGTCATTAATATATTGCAGGTACAGGGTAGTTACAGACAGAACCGGTCCCAGGATGAGTAGAATAATTCCACCCGCCTCACTGCAGAGTGCTCCAGACCCTGGGGGAGAGGCCCCTGGGCTCCCTGTGCCCACCGCTTTGCTCTCCTCAGATACCCACACTGTCCACGCTGTCCTAGTTCACACCAAAGCCTGAGAAAGAAGCAAATGGGTGTCTACGCTTTTATTACAGGGAGAATAGTGAATAGCTCAATTATAAGCTCATATATCCTGTCACCGAGGAAAATGCTACATATTAATAAATGCACGAAGAAGCCAAATCCTGACACTTTCCATAAAGGAAAACAGGAGCTCGAGATCATACATATTTCCTTCAAAAGCTGATAGAAGCCTGCCATGAATATAATATTCAGAACCCAAGTGGTGTCTCAACAGGTACCAGCGGGTATGTGGGTCCCTCTCAGGAAAGTGACCTTGGGGGTCACTCTGAGAATTCTGATCCTGGATCACCCATGTCCTCATGCTGGGAAGACCCATGACCAGATCCACTCCAATCCCACCTGGTCCTGAAGTGCTAGGTTCAGTTTTGCCTGGTGAGAAGTTGTCCAGCAGCCGCGCTGGAAACATGTATTGGAATCTAAACAAATTTTCTTGCCCCTCACTGGCCGAGCATGAAGATAAAAGGCACTAGATAGATGGATTTCTTATGCTATCGAATCTCACAAAGACCCTCTTAGCTTTCATGCCATTTTAAGAATAAAATAACTGATGTAAGGAATTTACCTGGGTAAGGAATTTACCCAGGGTCATGCAGGGTCTGAGCTCGGGAAAGATGCGGAAGAACCTCTGTCCTCCCTTTGCGGTTATTAGCTAGGGACACCGGGAAGGCCCTGCCAGCTGCTAGCTGATTAAACGCCGAGACTCCGGAGGAAAACTGCAGCATTTCTATTTTACAGAGGAGGAGAAGGAGACCTTGAGAAAGCCATGGTGTCCCCAGAGTTGTGAGAATGGCCCAGCAGAAATAAGGACGTTGGCTTCATATTTGAAGTTGTAGCATTTCCTTGCATCTTCTGTTTATTCCTAATACCGGCTTCTGTATGAGGTAACTGGGGCCCTCTCCCTCCACGAAGCCTTCTGTGGATGTGTCGGGACACCAGTCTCACCAGTTTGGGGGTTGAATCTGCTCCTGTAACTGACAGTCTGTCACTCTGAGAGCCCAAGCCGCCCTCCCTGAGACAGGCAATTTCCAGGTCTCCAAAATCATTCACTCCGCTTCTCTTTCCCAAGCTGAGTGTCGCACTAAAGCCTTGAGCGCTGCCGAGAAAGACGCTCCTTCAGTCCAGGTAGAGCTGGAGTTGTTTGTTGGTGCATCTGGCTGTGTTCACGTGGGTGTTATTTTGTCAAGTACGCATTTGCACTTTCTCAGGACCCAGGTGATGGAGCAGGGATGTCTCCGCAGCTGGTGCGAACAGTTAGGGGACGGCTCTTGGCCCTGCTGGCTGCGAACCTGATGCGAGAAGTGGATGCTTAGGTAGATGCCAAGCCTAGGTCCCCTTCATGGGGTGCCCGGTGCAGGCCGGGCCAGGGGGATTAAGACAGAAGGGTCAGAGAGTCTACTGCAGGGTGAGTCATGCTCCGCGGGGGTGAAGGTGGGCTACGGAGGCTCTCACGCAGTCCCCCCACACAGGGGCATCAAAGGTCGCAAAGGCCCTTCAAATGCCCCCAGCTGTGTCTTCCCACAGTGGCCACCTCGCCCCAGTGCCCCTGTTTTCCGTGTGGGTGGTGACAGTCTCCTCTGCAGGCCTCTGTGCCCTTCCTGGCCCTTTATTCCAGCGTGAGACTCGCCCGGCAGTAGACTCTCACCCTTCTGTTTTAGTCCCCTCCCAGGTCCCCGACACCTTCAGACCTCTTCCTTAGGGCACAGAGGGTGCAGGTGGGAGCAGCGTGAGCTGTGAGGTCCCCTTGTGCTGCTCTCCCATCTGCGGCGCCCCCTTCCACACACAGTTAAGCTGTGCCGTCTGCTCTCCAGACCTCTTCCCCACGCCGACAGACCCTGCAGAACCTGCTCTTTCCTCCCAGCCTTCTCATCTGGAGGCTTCATTTCCTAATCCTTAGGATTCCTCCTCTCTACTCCTTCCTGTGTGCTTCTGGCACCCTCTGAGGCAAGTGACTCTTCTCTCTTCTTTGGCTGAAGTTCCACAGCTTGTCACACTGCTAGATGAGTTGTCACCTGTCTCCCTGACCCAAGGGATTGGGATGAAATGAGCTCCCCAATTCCCAGGACACTCCCAGGAGACAGAAATGAAGAGTGTGTGCTCAATCCCGGCACTTGGAGAGGCGGAGATGAAGCAGGAATAACAGAAGGATGTACTCATCAGAGAGCAGGTATAAAAGAACGTCCATATTTGTATCCAGCTACTGATCGTTTAAAGAGTTACAACTCGATGATTTTTCCCTCCAGCCCTTGAAGCACAAGAAAATACTGAACTCATCACTAGAAAGTTGTTGAGAAAACAAAGAAAAGATTGCTACGGATGAAGACTTGACAAAGAGATGATGCCTCATCGGAGCAACAAGAGTGTCTTGTGGTTCTCATCCTGTTCCTTCAGTTCGGTCATTATCTCGCCAGCTGCAATGAGAACAGGCCCAAGGAACGTTGCCGTGAAGCTGGCTCTGGAGATTCAAAGGTGAGGGTTTTCTGCAGCCGGAACAGTGAGCTGCATGCAGTCTCTCTAGCACAAGCTCCTGAGCTGCTCCACTGCACATTTTTGGGTTCAATTTTAGTAAGCTAG